AAAATAATCATTATTGATAAATGAATATTTATTTCAGAATATTTGATAAGAATATTTATTCAAAAAAAAAAGCTGTTAGACAGTACAATAGCGAAGATTGCACGTAGGTGGTGACGACAGCAAATAAACAAAGTAATCACCACAGTTTGTCACCGAAATGGTATTTTGCCAATTGCAACTGCTATAGTAATTGTAACAGACTGTGCTCAGTTTTGTCTCACCTAATCGTGTCGGGTGGCTGTCATTGAGATAACTAGGATAATAGCTGCCACAGTGATAGTCCGATAAGACTGCTGTTGATAATCGACTGCCAGCTGCTCCAGAAAATCGAACCCATTTGGGTGTTGGGAATTCCGATTGATCGCACATAGTCGTTGAACTATTGTAATTTGCATTGCGTGTCGGATCAGAATTGATAGTGTGGCTATAGCATTCTGTGGGCAATATGATTGGAACTGCTAAAATAGCCAGAAAGATAATCTAAAATGGTTGCTACTCAGTTGCTCTGAAGCAAGATATATAAAGTAAATGAAATTCCTTGCAGTTCGATTTAATTTTGAAAAACGTGCGTGTATGAATCTATTTAACAGTAGAACAACGTATAAAACGTATTAGATCTGGCCGCTTTCAAAGGAGTTTTTTGAGCAATCATAGGAAAGAACAGGAGTTCAAGTCTGAGTGAGTATGGCGATAGGCAAAAATGAATTTGACCACACTGAATACCATGAGCGAAAAAAAATTCTTGTCACAACTTACTTGCATTACACATAGAAACACCCAAAATGATGGGTATGCAGATTGGACGAGAACAGCAGGTTGTCGACAGACAAATGCTAGCACTTGATGAACAGACAACATTGTCGATGCATGGATCGAACAGTGAACAAGATACGGATGGAGCACAGAACGTCTGATTGGTCATAGGAATTTGATAGGCATAACACATTTGTGAGGATGCTAAAGAACAAGACGCATTCATATTTCTGGTCGTCCTGCAGAGTGGAACTGAACATCCTGATGTAGATCGATTGGTTTGACCTATCGAGAGATGAAAGTTGAAATTTTAGTTTCTCTAACACATGAGCTACCTTCAATGGAATATATCAGAACTACTATAAAGATTACAAACATCGTGCTCACAGTCATCATTCGCATCTTGACCAGTTTTATGTTTAGTCAAAGATAAAATCCTCACTCTATTTTATAGGTCAAGGAAAAAATGTTACTTTTGCCTCCTTAGTTGTTAAGTCATCAAAGATGAATAGAATTTTTCGAGTAATCAACTAATAATTTTCATATAAGGCTTAGACATATGAATGAATGCAACAATATCAACATGCAATTATCGTCGTACGCGGCACTAAGATGCTAAATTGCACTCGACAGGGTTTCAAATTATAATGCCTGCTGTAATAAACGGCCTATTCAATCGTCCATTCAGAGCAGGAGACTATAGCAATGATGACTGACAGTTTTTTTAAATGTTTTTTGCTATGTAAGAAAAATATCCAGGTGAAATTAGGATGATTGTTAAGGCAATTACCATGCATAGTTATAAAGCAAAATTCATGTACAATTCGCTTTCATAAACTAGCACAATGACTAAGTATCCTGTGGTTAAATTACTGTTATTCGTTCATCACCATGACATGCATAGACCGTTAAAATTTTCTTACTTGCAATCGATTCAAGTATTGAATTCAAGTTCAGTTTCAATTCTGAGCAAGTAATTGAGTTGCTTATTTTTACTAAAATATTCACGCAACAGAACAAAATCGTCTAAAAATTGGGTTTGAATGTTATTCGCTTCTTAATCTATGCCCACAACCACTCGCAAACGCTCATGATCGAGTATGCTGAAGTCTTCTAATGTACGAGTCACTTGTCTAAATCTGGATAATCGATTCTCAACATCTTTCAATGTCTGAGCCGATTTATCAAGCTCTCCAGGCATTTTTTTGTATTTTTCTTCTTTACTATTGGTCCAGGTGTTAGTTAATGTATGCCAGTCTAACGATGGTTACGAATGTGAGAAAATGGATCGCTTCATTTTCATACAAAAGAGCATTGATAGACACAGAAAAGTTAACATGGATGATAAGTGAATTGTTGTTTTCATCTCTAGTATTCTTTGATGATAGAACAAGAAATTCAGATATTTTCTAAAAAGAAGGAATTTCAATTCTCTTTTTGCACGTGGGTATGTTGGTGTGTGTGTGTGCGGACATGTGATGTGAGTGCGTTAGATGTAAAGCTGTACGGTGTGGCTGTGGCTCCGAATCTGAGTGTGAGTTCGGATGTGGAATGCGGATGATTGGAGGGGACACTGATTGTAAACGTTGATCTTCTCTGTTCCCACATTGAACGACATCCACATATACTCCCTGTTTATGTTAAGTTATTCTTTAGATAGTAGACAGAGTTTTCAAATAATTAGTATTCAAAATCTAATCTAAATTTTATGCAATAGTGTAGTCACATTACTTTTGATATCTGTCAAACTACCAACGACAAAATGACTACATCTCGTATTTTTGGTGTAACTTTGGATAGAAACAAGATAGAGAGCTGCGATTTTCACCGTTGGAAAGGGGAGATGAAGTCGCATCAAACAGAATATTATAAATTTTTTCTAATGTGTTTTGTGAGACTTTTAAAATCAATTTTCTAAAAAAAGATAGTGGAAAAATGGTTTTTATCAAAAAGGAAAAAGCAAAAAAGTGAATTTTTTCATAGGAATTGCTAGACAAATCGGCTTGGAGTTTCGAGTAGAGTGCCTATAACTCTTCAACGATTGAAGCTAAAACTCTGAGCCCTGCGCAGCTTTATAGATCTTCAGTTGGTGGTTTGCATGCACATCAGATGATTCAAAATTCACTGTAGTCACCTATCGAGTACGGTGCTTTTCAGAAAACTCATTTGAAAATCATAGAAAAACCAGGTCAAAAAGTCTGTAACATACGATTTGATGCGTCTTTATTTTTCTCTTTCCAATGGTGAAAACCGCAGGTCTCTATCTTGTTTCTATCCAAAGTTACGCCAAAAATACGAGGTGCAGTCATTTTGTCGTTGGTATAAAGTTTGGCATTATTTTGATGAAAATGAATTGAGTAGGATGTGGACGTGACTATTTTGTACTTACAGACATCTCACATCCACAGATGGTGACTATATGATATCTTTATGGATGTTAATTTGGGCTATATATATCATTGATTGTTACCTGTTGCACGCATTCTTTCACTATCATGTTTCATTTTGTCAAAACTCTTCGACGAAATTTCTCTGATTCTTGCAAAAAAAAAAGAAATACACCATATGTAGTCAATACAATAGATGAAACAAGCAGATGACTGTTTATCATTTCCTTGAACTTTTACCATGTATCATTTCTTTGACTCATATGAGTCCTACTAAATTATATTGCACGATTAAATTCCTATGTTTTATGTGAACTATGAAAAAATTCGAAGTCATTGACATTTCAAAACCTATCGACTCTGATGAAAATCCACAACAGTACAAGCAAATTAGTGTTGCTGTTGTGCCTGATACTCACAATAAGCATGAACTATATGACATACCTGATGGTGATTTATTTTTGCATTGTGGTGACTTCACCAAAAAGCATGATTAGGATCAATCAACAAATTCAGATGATTACACAGTCGACAAGAGACTTTGATCAATAACTAGACACTTTACCACATAAACATAAGATTGTAATTTATGATAATCATGACATTGACTTTGAAAAACTTTCCAAAGAAGTAATTCGGTTACAATCTTTGACAATAGATGCTATATAAAAGATGAATTAATCGAAATTGAAGGTCTATCAATTTATGGCAGCCCATGGTCACTTTAATTTCGTCTAATATTGATATCTTAATGACGCATATTCCACCACGGTTTATTTTAGATTTGGCTTGTCATCCAGAAAAAGTACAACGATAATGTTTATCAATGCAGTGGCAGATCTGTCTAGAAAATGCTTCAATTTCATTCTTTATGTTGATTTAGAGAAACTTGTGCAATAACGTTAGTTCCCCATTCAAATCATGTAATATTCAGTGATTAAATAACTTTTCTTCTTAACATTCAATCGTTTTTCTCTTGTCTGCGACATACGGAACTATGAGCATATTTCTATACTGTTTTTCTCTTGATAAATTAGCCTTATATATTGAAAAATTAACTTAAATTGAAACCTCTATTTTACCAGTTTCGTTAAATATATCAATATACAATGCTAACAACTGAATTAAATTGAAATTTTATGTAATGACAAGCATAGAACAAACATACCTTTCATTAAATGATGTAAACTCCAAATGATACATGTTTTTTGTCTGACTATTTGTCAAGATTTGCAATGCTCAGTGCTAGTTGAATCAATAAAAAAATCAATTAATTTCACCACCTAATGTCAAACAATGCACGTGACGAGAAATTGCATCAAATCTTAATATAGAACATAGATATTTGTATCTGAAAAATGATTTAGATAAAATTTTTCTGATTGAAAAATTACTATTGTTAAAAAACTTGATAGACGATTTTGAGTGACATCTTTCGTTTGTGTAAAAAAATAACTTTTGGAGTCTTATTTCAAACCAATAATATAGAATATGAGTAAAAACAATAAGTATTCGTTTTTTGTTTCGAATCGTTCGTTCTACAGACTAATTCAATACACTTATTCACGAAATCATTTTGCAATATTTTACTACTTCTCATAGATTTTTTTTCCGCATCACCGAAGACGAATAGAACATACAATTAAAACTCTTTTCATTTTTTTTTTTTTGTTTCATTCAAGATTTATGTCAAGTACGTTTTGTACGCGATTATATCAACTGATAAAATGTACCAGACAGTACTATTAATAAAATGAATCTTCAATATCTATTATAATCATTCCAAGAAACTCATAAGAAAAATAGTAAGTTTTTTAAAGTATATTTATTCATATTTTGATAATAAATTGAAATAGGTGAATGCATCCTTTAAGTGATTCAATTGATGAATCAAGTCGTCTAAAACAATTTGCATGGGAACAATGGGATAATCAAGTTATTGCTGTTATTTTTCGGTATGTAAATTATTAACAAAAAAATGAATGTATTCCTAAAGATTAAAATTAAATAAACGAAAGAATTTTTTTGAATGAATACATATATTTAAAGATGTACTCTATTTCTAGACCTGGTCATAATGGTCTTGATCGTTATGTACTTAAACGTTATGTTGAACAAGTTTTATTTCAATCAGATCGATGGAAATATTTATCATTGTATTTTTCAAGTATTTCACCACCATTAATTCGTGCATATTCTTTAACATCAAATGAAATTGAACTCATACGACAAATTCTTGATTATCATCTTAATGATAAATTTCGTTTACGTATAACACAATTAAATGATCAATTAATTAACTATGAAGATTTGCTTGATTTTATATCTCGTCTTCAAGAATTATATGATAAAAATTCAAATTTATATAATCATATTCAACAAAATAATGGAAAAATACCATTAATACCAACTATTCATTCATTATATATTTTACCATCATCAACAGTTAAATCAATTAGTTCTTCTGTAATAGTACAATCAAAAATAAATCCGGTAAAATCTTCTTCAATTAACATTCCATCAATATCACAATCGAACAAAATTCAAGAATCTACAACAATAACAAATAATCATCAGATATCATCATCTACAATAAAAATTCAATCGAATATTTCTATTTCATCTGAACATTGTCCAATATCATTAAATAATGCTAAAATTGATGGTAATGGTTGGATACAAATTAATAATGTTTATATACCATTTATAATAAAAAATCATCAACGTTTTGTACCATATCAAGTACTTGTATCATGTAAAATTCTTGAAATTGATGAATTAGGAACAACATTAATACATGCTACAACAACAGATATATCATTAATTAATTCTATGATACATGATTGTAAAATATATAATGAACAAATACCTGAAAATGCATTATTAATTAATGTTTATTATATTCTTATTGGTACAAAAAATTTAATTTATATTAAAATATTACCAAAAGATAATCCAACATTAAAAATAAATCGTCAATATAAAAATGTTTTATCTTTACATGGTGGTGCATTATATATTAAAAATTATTTAATACCATTTGTTTGTTCAAGTCATCATTCTTATATACCATTAAATACTATATTAAATATTTATCCAAATTTACAAATAAAATTAAAAAATTTTGCCCGTGTACCACATATAAATCAATTAGATTATTTACAATTAGTACAAATGTATTATAATGAAGATAAATTATTATCATTAGATACATTACTTATTGATATGAAAGATTTATATCAAACAGATATAGTTCTATCAAAAACTATGACATTAATTGAATATCATGCAAAAGAAAAAATTAAATTTGAACAAAAATTAACTTTAATTAATAATTTATCAACTAATAAAAGAAAAAATCAAGAATCATTTGAAAATAAACAAAAATTAAAAAAATCAAATCAACCTACATCTACATTAGTTCGTCCATTAAATGGATATGTTTCCATACAATCAATAACATCGCCTTCAAATCAACAAAATCATTGGATTTCATCAAATAATCAACATACGGAAAGAACTCATTGGCAATAGTATTTAATTTGCAACTATACTTTTCTTTCATTTTGTTATTCAAAATACTGCATCAGATTTACTTTGTTGCTTTTTATATATATTCTTTTAATTGTTGCTAATTGTTTATCTTTCTTTTCTATTTCTATGAAATTCGATGCGCATAATAAAATTCTTCTTTTCTAATACAAAATCAACCACAAAAAGTGAATCTTAAGATTCATTTCTGTGTGTTTCACTATTTGATACCAATAATTTTGAATTAGATATATTTTTTGTTAAACATAAAGATAAATAAATATTTTAAAAAAGATTTCGAATTTTCATACATCCAATTTAGCACTAAATTTTCCATTTAAATAAATGCGAAAACATCGGATTTAAATCCGACTGTTATGTGTACTTCAAAAAGTGAACAGGTATATTCACTTTGTTTTTTATCATCTGAGATAATATCTAGACTATTGGCTTTCTCAACTGTAGTTTTTATGCATTTTGAGCCTTTTTCGGGGGATTTTTTGTTAGAAAGCTACAATTTGATTCAAAACTAATATCAGATTCGGAATCAGCGTTAAAAACTGAGTCGATAGATATATGTTGTGAATAATTCGGAGAAAAA